GAAGGAAATTGGCCGCCAGTGGTGGTTGCCACTGCCGTCTTGTGGTCAGACGTCAGTTCTTCAAAGACCAGAACAGGCAACTTCGATAGAAATCTGAATGGAATTGGGAAACCCGTCTGCAGGAAATTAGCTAGGTCACCGTCACCCGTATCAGCCAAACTTCCTACGCCATGACAAGACAAAGTATTGCGGACGGTGCGGCAATTAATCGCGGAATAGCGGGCGGTCCAGGTGCTGCAAGTGACTAATCAGATGAGATGCAGCTGTTGTCCAGCTTTAGACAAACACATGATGCTAAAGAGGCGTTTCTGAACTGACAGATTATGATGGCCATAAAATCTTTTACTTAGTACCAGAAGGACAGGAATTTTGGATATCGAGTAGCCACTTCGTGCATGTTCATTTTGCAGCTGTCCGGCTTCGAACTCATGCAGCAAAGCATACGCGATACCGACCGCACCGCAACTCGCAAGTAGCCACCTCTGGTATAACGTTGGTCATGCCGTAGCTCAGCTGCTGTTGCTGCATCAGCGGTTTTCGCGAAGGTTCGTTATTTATGTCTGATAGAAATCAGAGCTATGGAGCATTTATGACGGGTTCCTGATCGTTTGTGCTTTGTTATGAAACAGAAGTCAAAAACAAAATTATGCCACTCACTTAGAAAAGGCATAAACAGGCTCTTAATGATAACAGATAATGAAAAATACGCTAAAAGTCTGAAAAAAACATTTCAGAACCCCCAACGGTGTTCGTGTGGAATTTGAACAATGAATTTATGCTAAAGAAAGAACGCCGTTCCGAAAGCTTTCTTTTACAGTAAATTATTTCAGGTTTTAAACCGTCTCTTTCTTTATCTGTTAAAAGTATACTACGAAAGAACATTTGAATCTGCTCATAAAATCGTACAAGCAGGAAATAAAGAGAAAAGATGCAGTGGGCTAATATACAGACTTTGGTACAGGCTTTCTATCAGGTAAAACGGCGTAATTCTCTGACTTCTGTACCTCCAGCATATTCTGTAATAGAAATCCGGTGAGAAGTGTCAAGTTTATTGCTATAATGTAATCTGTTTTCTGGTCATCGGTATAACGCGTCTAACGCTGAGTGACAAAAGCAGTTGCTCGCAATGAAGACAAAGCAGATGTAGATTAATGGTGGCATTTTTCGCGTAGACATCTATTAAGCTGTTTACGAAAATCTCATTTATTCAAAGTAAACAGAATCTTGATACCAATGTGAAACTTTACCCGACGAAGAAGTTCGAGTGGACGTCTTCATTTCTTGCCTGGACAATTGTTCAAATCTTCGTTCAATAGGCTGCAATCTGATTCCGTAGTTGGAGGCAAGGCATTATCAAAATGATCAGAGAGACTCTATATGGAGACCAACGATCCTGATTACACTGAAGACGCTGCTCCTCGTTCAAGGACAAAATGAATGGCGATAAATATGCTCTGAGCAGAAGATGACATTTGTCATTGTGCAGATGGTAGCCACTGCTGTGAATATACAGCATATTCGCAATATGCGATGGGGGATCTTTGCTTAAATCCGTATCTTAGTATCGTAATCAATAATGTCTATATCTTTAACATTAAATTTAATGCACGTATTTTAATCATGATGGGGTCATAGGGTGAAAACAAAACATAATCATGGTGATTTACGCATATCGCAAATAACTTGCTCAATCGTATGATTGACCAGTACCGATGTTTCGACCCGCGTGTCACGGGCTTTTGAAAGTAGACAGGTGAACTACGCTTCGGAAATTCTTTTGGCTCTGAACGTAGGAACCTCTACCAACGACAAAATGGGCTTCTAAAGCTCACTCGCTTTTCTGCCTTGAAGAAGGGCAGTGAGATATGGGCTGAAACGCAGGTACTGACTGACCAACTTGTTTACATTGTATATAAAAAATACCAACGTACAAACCAAATACTCAATCATGAGACATCACGGGTAAAAATATACTTTTAACCACATGTATTTTACCTTTCCAAGAGATTTCCAAATTTTTTGTCTCTAGATGTGTCAAACTCACGATTTGTAGGATAAACAGATATCGTCTCCCGGAAACTCAGAGTCAGAGCGTTGTCGTAAAATGACTCGAAAGTTAGGGGGAGGGCATGCTTTAGCTCCACCATGCACCTTAATTGAACAAGATGACGCTACAGTCTTCGTGCAATCAGCTCCCCGGATTAACAAATCGAGACCAAGCTGACCTATTTGTTTCCTCTTTCTTTTCCTGTTGTTGCACTTATTTGTTATCCGTTCGCTGGACAACTGAAATCAGAAGACTTTGGTTCTCTGCTTTAGGAATTAAATTTTGAATCTGAAGCTTAGACGTTTCCACCAGTGATCACAACAGTAATAGCGCTTCTTAAGGGACGGCCGTTCCCCAGAAACGTAAAACATTTCGAGCTCTTTCACACAAGTGATTGCGTAAAACAGAAAGTGAAGGCCTCCGTCCAATTTAGTTAATAACTTTAGTTGACTTGACCAGTAACTCAGTGTATGTCAGTGAGACTGCTGGTCCCAAAATCTAAATGCATAAGAGGCTGAGGAATTGAAACCGTTCTTTCTCGGTACGGCAAGTAATCATGGAGAGATTATTACTAGTTAATATTCTTAATTGTTTGTTAGATCTCTATTATTCATTTCGCTGTGAATTAAATTTCTTTCAATGATTAGAAAGCATTACTAAGGTCAATGATTTAAATATTTCTATGTTCAAAATTAATTCTCATAATTACTAAGAACACTAACTGATCTTCACCTCTCGCAGCTGTTCCGTCTCCGCCCTTCCTCGGTTCTCCATATTCTCCTGGAAGGTTTTATTCTGGCGTTCAAGTTCGAACAGTTTCGTTGTATACTCTTTTTTCAGGGTGAATTCGCGCTCCTCTGCGGCTATGCGCTCTTCCTCCATCTGCTGTTGGTAATTTTCGCTTATGGCTTCTTTTTCCTTCGATACATTTTCCAGAACCTAAATGATCGTGTACACTTTCGTTTATATGTTCATATGTTCACGAAAGAGTTCTTAAAAACTTCGATTATGGCATGTTGTCCATGATGGATCACAATAAGGAGAAAAGAGAAATAGAGTGAAGGACTCAGAGTTAATAAGACTGTCTTCTAAATCAAAGGTTAATGTGATAATAGCTAAAAGTGATAACAATAATAATTATGAAAATATTGACGAGTAGGTGTATGAAGAAAATGACAACAGCGATAATAAGGAGGAGAACGATGATGAGATTGTAAGTAATAATGACGGACAATAAGAACATTATAAAGAAATAGTAACGGCTAAATATTGATTCAAGGTGAAGAAAATAGAATTCAAAGAAATACAAAAAATCGATAGACGCTGGTGAAAAAGCCTCGAGTTTGCTGTCCTAATTCAGTAGTTGGTCAGCAGTGTCACCATAGCTTATTTGTAGGCTCGGAAATTTGCAAGCCTAATAAAAAATTGGTGAAATTTTTGACCTAAGTCGTTCGTTCATGAATTCTGTCACTCATTTACAATGTCCAATAGTGTTTTCAAGTAAAGGGAGCGGGGGCAACAGCCTTTGGAAGTTAAACTTTTCGTGCAATGCTAGATTCTCAATATAATCGAACAAAACAATTCCAATTGTGATTTCTTGATTTGGAAGCTGAGTTTCTTCACAGAACTGATCTAATGCTGGATAATGCGTTTCTCGAACTTATAAATAAGTTTACTGAATTGATCACGTTTCTTTAATGAAATGGTTTGGATGGCAGAAAATCTTGAATTAAAGTCCATTCATTGCTTTCTTCTTCTTCTTACGCATGGCAGTAGGGCTGTAAGTCGAGATTAAACTTAAGCAGCCGGGAGATGGCACCGGTTACCAGCGCATTTTACGCGGTGATTCCTTTCTCGAAATGTCTTGATTCACACTGGTTGACGATATGATCGATTTTTTTGGTCTGAGTAGTCGAAGTCACATCCTTGGAGTTTTTTCGTAGTGCAATTTGCACAAGTTGTGCCCAATCCTGGCGTGGGTCGTGCGGATCCTGTTTAAGATTGCCCACTGTTAACGAACCAAGTGGAACTCAGGCATAATTCGTGTCGGATCGCTGAATAGGTGTTTGTCTGGCACGTAGGAATTCTGTGAGACTTTTTCCCACATATCGGAGGCATCGAAAAATGATGTAGTTAAGTCCTTGGCAGTTCGCAACAAAGGGCTCCGTGATATGAGTCTTACCGTGAGGTAGTTCTTGAAGTCTTGGTAAAAAGGCAAGTTTGGTTCATCTAGGATTTTATGGTAATCTCTTAGGCAGCTTTGGCGCCTTCTTCTGTCGAATGGAAGTGTTTGAGAATACCGGTAACCATGGAAGTGGGATGTGGTAAAAGGTTGCTGTTATGACCCTCATGGTGTTGTTAAGGATGGCATCCAGGTTCCGTGTATGGCAGCATTGGAGCCACTCAGCTGTAGGGCATAGAGTAGCGAAGACT